GGAGTAGGAGCAGTGTCAGTGCTCCTTCTTTTAAACACAGACACTCAGCAGGATAAATGGGAGGAAAACTGCCACACCATTAAAAAGACGGGTCAGTCCTGCAGTCTAGAACCAGAGGAAGGCAGCCACCTTCTCTGACCACCTCTGGTTTTTTTAATCCATGATCAAACATCAGTTTGCTAATAATAAATAAAAATAAACTCACATAAAGAATAGTAATAAACTCAGTTCCCAGAATCATCTTCACTGTGGTGATGCTCCATCCTAACCTTGGGAAAGGATGGTGAGGATGAATGGCTCCACATTCCAGTGGCCTCTCCAGGCTGCTACCCAAGGGCAGAGCTCTTCCAGTCAGTGCCCCAGAAAGGGATCTGTGTTACAGTGGCACCACACCATCTCTTTGAGACAGTGGCACTGGCAAGCCCCACTCAACACTCAGACGGCAAATCCATTTTAGATGTAGTTTTATTTCATGTTGTTGTCTGTACATGGTGCAGTTACATTGCTGACTCCCTGATATTTTTTGTATCTCAAGACTACAGCAGTCTTTTTTTCTGTTTTTTTTTTTTTAACTCAGTATAGATAAGCACTGAAGGTATTACAACCATGGTGGTACCAGCTCTTACAGTTTTATCACAGCTCTCCTAAGATGTGTTCCCTGGAGCTCCAGCTCTTGGTCATATTTCAGTACAAAGCAATCTCAGCTGATTTATAATTTAAATTACAGAGCTACAGGAGGGAGAAAGCAAAAATACGTAACTCTCAGTGTTCCCACACCAGAAGCAAATATTTATTTGTTCTAAGTTTTTGTGACACTTTAATCAACCTTAGTGATGAGAAGGGGGAAAGAGGAGGTGATTTAATGTTTCAGAACATTTGGGTTTGGTATTTTGGCAAACCTGCCGTTCTCTTCCTTTGGTATGTAGGCATTACATGCATGTAAAAGATCCTCAGATATGTTTGTAGCAGCTGTAGCAGGTATTGGTAACACTCATGGAGAGTCAATGGAGGATATGACAATAGCACTGTTGAGTAAGGAATCTACCACAGCCCTGGAAATTTACCTGTGTTCAAATGAATACTTTATGCTATGGCATTTGTGATTATGTGCTCTGGGCAACATACGCTGAACTACAACTGTCTGGAAATGTCTTCCAGAGCAAAGCATTGGGATGCTTCCAAAAGGACATGTCAGATATTGCTAGATCAGGATCTTAATTTTTCAGCATCAAGAAGGTGAATAGTCAAAATCCAAAAGGTACTTGCCACTAGATGGTTATGTTAGGTAAGTATAGTATTGTGTCTCAGAACTACATTCCTCTTTCAGGTTCAGAGATCCCATTTTTTGTCATGGATTTGGTATAAATACATGCTATAACTCTCATTATCTTTCTCAGGTGCCAGGATATTTTTTAAACCTGTTTGAATAATGACTCTTTTAACCTTTCCTCACAGGAGTGTTTGCGTTTGGACTTTTTGCCACTGACATCTTTGTAAACGCTGGGCAGGTTGTGACTGGGAACTTGGCTCCCTACTTCCTGACTGTGTGCAAACCCAACTACACTGGCAATGTCTGTCGGGCCCACCACCAGTTCATAAACAATGGCAACATCTGCACTGGAGATGTGGAGGTGATTGAAAAGGCAAGAAGATCCTTTCCATCCAAACATGCTGCTTTGAGCATCTACGCTGCTTTATATGCCACGGTGAGTGCCAGTGATGACAGCTGACTTGCATGAGTGGTTTCTGTATGTGCATCTAGATTGGGGCCATTTTTCTTACAATGGACTTTTGGAAATAAAGAGGTTTGTTTGGGGGATGGCTTTCTTCTTTATCTGTAAAGGAAACCCCCTTCTCTCTCCATTTTACTGGTCCTGGTATAAGCAAATGGAATTCTCATTGCTTTTGAGGCACTCCATATGGAGGCATGAGGTCCTAAACTTGTCTTTGCTGCTGATTTTCTCATTCAAGCTCTTCTTCTCCCTGCCCCTGTCTCATGAGCATTAAAATGTAGTTGATCCTTAAATGGCTTCTGGATCACTACTTTTGTTCACATCCCATGGGTTGTTGAACATGTAAATTGTGCCATTTCCATGGGAGGCTGAACTTAATGTGAATTTTGCTCCCTTTGTATAGGGCCTGAACTGCCCACGCAAAGAAGGTTCTAATGGAAGTCAGTGACAGAATTTTGTTGTTACCACAGAGAAACTTGACATAGTGACAAGGTGACATTGCTATGCTGTCAGGAAGGAAACTCTTAAAAAGTCTGATGAAACAGATTGACTGCTCCTTTGTGTTCTCTGTTTAAAGTTTCTGTTAATGCTTAAAAATTGATCCAAGAGTCTGACTAACAAAGCAGAAAACCTTGGTGGTTTTGACATTAAGATCTAAGGACTTAACCTGGTTCTGATCTCAAAATCGCCCAACTAGGTCTTTTTTCCCCCCACTAGCTTGACTCAGAATAGTAGCAGAGTCTGTCTGTAGATCATCAGTATTTGAGAAAAGCCTTAAACTTATTAATGACAGGGTATTTACTGAATATTTTACCCTACTCTTGGTAGCAGATGAATAAAACACCACATTTTTACTATAAAATCTGTTTGCACTGAATGTTGCATGAATAATGATGGAGATATAAACTGCAACTTCTCTGATCAGGATTTGCTGAGAAGTGTTTGGAAAGCCTGTAAGATTTTGTGCACATTACTTCTGCACAACAAGCAACCGTGTGTGAAATACAATAAACTCAACATGGTTGTAGCAACTGTTTGCATCATGATAAACTCTTAGGTGGAAGTTCCAGGGTTTGGTCCTAGTTCTGTCCTAAGCTAATTACATCCTTTCATGGACCTTCCTTGCTCAACCTCCTTTATTTCCTAGGAAGGCAAGTCCTCAATGAACAGGCTGACTTCTACAACTGAAGGGGAATGTTGCTCGTCCTTCCTGAGCTTGTTCCAGGCTCAGGACTTTCAACCTGCAGTCCAATTTTGGCCCAGTTCTCTGCCTGAAGTCACTCTCTAGCACTAAAGGTGTTGTCACATGTCTTTTTGCTGCCTGTCAACTGGGAATAACATGAGCATTACACAAGAAATGCATTGTTCAGATCTAGCTTTGTTTAATAATTGTGCTGTGCACAATTGTTTGAAAAGTTTCTTGCTAATTCTAATATGCATGATAATGTCGGCTGCTGAACATAGACACAGGGTATTTGCTTAGTAATAGCTGTATTTTGCATAAAGCTGACAATTTGAGCCATGGAGCAAGAAAAAATAAAATAGTTTGAACATGAGGAGGCAGGAGAATCAGCATGGACATTTTCTTTCATTGTAGAAATGTTGGTTGAGATCAGGGAGTTTCCTCTCATCACCAAACCTGAAGTATCCTCTGCAGAAGTCTCTGTACTCATTTGTTCATGACTCTGCTACTGAAAGCACTCCCACTGTGATTGGTTTGGCCTTGCAGTTTTTTGGTGCTTTGGGGTTTTTTATAATGATTTTACATTTAATCTTTTTTGTCACCTGCTAAAGAAGCTGAGGAGAACCCAAAGCATCCCTTGTGTGATCTCTGCAGGCAGAGATGAATCTTGTATGCCTAAAGTAGGAGAAAGAGAAAACAGCCTGCACTCTTGGTTTCCATACTTAGAAACAAATTACAATGGCATCTAATGAAAGTTTTATCAGTCTCCCAGGATTATCGGAGGAAGAGATGACAGTCACTGTATATAGTGCTTGCAGCTGTGCAGTTTGAAACACATGATTTTCAATTTCTTTTCCAAGAGAGAACAATAGGCTATAAATGCTCCTTAATTCATTAACCTTCCTGGGGGGAAAAAAAAGGCCCAGACAATAAAATCGTATGTTGCTCATAGGTACTCCAGTGACATCATGTTTAAAAACTGCTGCTTCATGCTCTCTGAGAAATGTTATAGAAGAGTCAATAACAGGGATGGTAGTGTTCAACCAGAATACAGAACATGAAAGTATTTCACCAGCACAACCTCTTACTGCAGGAAAAAAGGTGGATATCCTTGCTGATCATTCTGTTTGCCTCTGAGTGAAAGCAAGGAGAATTGTTTATAGTCACAGGGTCTCTGTGGTTCAAAGATAGTACTGGTCACTTACACTGACTGTTGAGTAGTGTTTTTAGGATTCTTCAGATAAGCTCTTGCCTGTCAGCATCCACAAGTAATGCTTTCTGTCTCCTCTACCTCACTGCACTAAATCATCACCTGGCATTTGTCATTTACACCTGTGTGTGTAGCTTCTTGACTAGATTAGAGTGATACAATATACTTGGACATGAAACTTTCAACATTTGAGAAATGCTGAATAGCAGAGAACACTGCAGCAAATGCCTTCTGCAACTCAGGTCAACTCAAGGCCTTGGCACTTCAAACAGCTGCAATGAGCACCTAGAAGACTGCATCGTCTACTACAATACACATAGTTGTCAAAGGCTCTGCTTCTCTCTTACTGTAGGAATCTCCATAGCAAAGAGAAGATTGTCTGTACATCTTGTAGGACACCAAATTTTCCAGTATTGATATGAAATTTTGAACTTTCTAAGGTAAATAAATTGTCACAAATCTCCCTGCTTTCTGTTGAAAGTACAAGACAGACTTCATCCACTCTGTCTTTCTCATTATAGATACAGCATACATTTTGAATATATACATATATTTGCATATATATAAACATATGTGTATGTCTATTTTAAACCTGCAAACAAAAAAGCCTCCTCGACTGTCTATGCTTTTGTCTGCCTGAAAAAGATGGGAGAGAAATCACATAGGATGAATGCTATCACACATTGCACATTGATAAATACACTGCTTGTGATAAGAGCACAGCAAAGAAACTGAAGAGGTAATTTATCTAGTTAAATCATCTGTAGTTTATTTTTTAACATTTTTTGTATTTTCCTCACATCTTTTTATATTTAATTCTTTCTTCCTTCTCCCTTGTCTTGACATTCAGAGTTTTGTAAGTAAATAGCATTGTGGGAAATTTACAAATACACCTACTGTGTGTAGGAAATCAAATGTGACTTTGACTGAGATTTTGGTCTCTTGCACAGAGTTTTGAAACCATGCCCTAAACATGCGTAAACACATCATGAGAATCCTAAAAAATATCTTGGCTTTAGGGACAATAAAGAGCAAGTCACAGTGACTGGGAAGTCTGACCAGCATGCAGAAGCTCTCCCACTTATTTCTGAGCTCAGCATGTGACTTACGGATGAACTGGAGTCTACCTTCTGGGAAAACAGTTCGTCTTGTTTAAAATCCTCCTCATGAGTGTTTAACAGATTTCCCTTGGCAATCTGTTCACATGGTTAATTACTCTCATTGCTAAAACTGTTCTCTTTACTACAAGTTTACATTTTCTCACTGAGACGTGAAACTTCAATTACAGATGCTTCCCATCTGTGATAAAGAGAGCCTCCCATGTGGGTAACCCAAAGATCCAACT